CAACCACTAAACAAACTCTACACGTCCTGCGCAGAATCTCAAACCGTACCAGGGGGGTGAAAGAACGCGAACTTCGCCAGTTTGTCACCTCCTTTATTCACGTGAAAGTGATGTATGGTTTGCCATACCACCCCGTCACCCGGACGCAGCCTCAAGCCCTAGAACGTCTCAACCACGAGGCAAGGCGAATAACCACTGGGCTCCCTCGTTACACACCACTAGCAGCTCTGAAAAGCTGCAGTGGCATTAATGACCTCACAGAGCTTCTTGAGACACACCTTCACACACAAGAGGTCCGCCTTCGATCCACGCACGCGGGCAGACACACGCTAGCCATGCCTGGACATGACATTACCAACCTTCCAGACCTCCCACAACTGTCGCCGCCCTGGGAGCACATCATGCTCACCGATTCCACACCGCTGCCACAGCATATGCCCCGCGAGCAAGTAGAACGAAGTCGAACATTCGTCAAGACACATGTCAAGTGGGCCCAAACCGCCTGCCTGGAAGAAGATATCCGCATCGTCTACACGGACGCCGCTTGTCCTCAAGATGGAACGGATTTTGCCACAGCTTGGGTTGAAACCACTAGGTCAACTCAGCGGCAACTCTATCACGCCACAACGGAGCCCGTCCACAGCACGCAAGCAGAAATGCACGCTATCATTGATTATGTTCGACTTGCAAACGATTCCTCCAACAACAGCAACACCAAGACCCATTTCCACGTCTTTACAGATTCTCAAGCTACACATCGGGCTTGTGCGGATGTTCGGAACACCACCGTGGCTGTTGAGCAGCTCAGACTCTCCGTGCAACACTTACGTGCTCTCGGGCACGACCTCACAATACACTGGGTACCCGGACACTCCGGAATACCCGGCAACGAAAAAGCTCACCGCCTTACACGCGCGCTCTTACTATCCGTGCAGGCCAGAGCAAGATCCAAAGATACAGTTTGCCTTCCTCACGAACAAGTAGAGTCCCGTGCACTACCACCCGACCCAGCGGAAGAGATATTCAAGGCACGGCACTACCGCAGAGCCTACCTCTTGGCTACCGCCAATCCCCTCCTTACACCCTTCCCTCCTTCTCAACTCTTCTCTCGCCGGCAGCTTGTCACGCTCCGCCAAATTCAGACCGGGACCATCCTCACCCCTTACCTGCTACAGCGGTTCCGTCAGCACAGCAGCAGCCACCGGGAAAAGGGCAGTTGTGCTGCTACCACCAACCTTCCTAATGCATGCGCATTGTGCCATAAAAACGCTGATCTGGAGCACCTGCTCTGGTACTGCCCGCTATACTCGGAGCCCCGAACCCGCACCTTGGCTACCATCCAGCAGAGTTTCAGGCCTACCTCGCTGCATGCCTGGGCCTGCCCGGACCCCTGCTTCCCCAAAGTGACCGCTATCGAACTCTGGCGTTCGCTGCTCGTGTACATCCAGGACCCTGCAGCTCCCCCTGTCGGCACGCGGCTTCAAGGCGTTCAGCTTTCCACCACTGAGCCCAGGCAAAACACCAGGCCTGAACCTACTGTACATCTATCCTCTGACGCTGTCGCACCAATCGGGCCAACAGAGAAGAATGGAAGCCCCCTGTCCCCCGCTCCTGTACCCTAAACCCTTTCACCGCAGCATTTCTTAATGCAAAAAAGTGAAATAAACGTTCCTAGCTACCTAGGTTTATATACCAGAGCTTCTGCTCTGACAATTATGCACATTTACATGTACAAATTAGCTTGAAGATTTTTTTTTATGTAACACCACCGTAAAGCCCATTCGCGAATGGTTGTGAGCTTTGAGTGCTTTCTCATTTTGACCTTGCCGTGGCGCGAATATGTTCGGTGCAGTATTTGGTGAACAATACGAACTATCTTTAGTAACACATCATGAACAATCTGTGTTGCTGCTTTTTTTCGTGAAAAAAAAAAAACTTAAACGAAACCATGTGATGATGTGGATATTGGTATAAGGAAAGGAATGGAGGGAGAAGAAGATGACTTGGAAGAAGGGCACAAGATAGTAACTGCGGAACCTCCAGCGACCACCGGCGGCCAAGACTGGGCACTTGGGACATGCCTGAAACCAGGACTGGGCTGCTAGGTCGGAGGCAAGAATCAGGACCGACTGCATAACACTAGAACAAGACCGATTCTCTAGAAAAGTGTTTCTGGCGTGTCAAACATTCTATAGGTTGAAGACCAAAAGGTAAGCAAGAACGCCCGCACCGCGACGCTCCATCGTGATCCCGCTCCAATCCTCACATCCCCATGACGAAACCTCACGGAAACGCAGGAACACGATAACAGCACACGACACGCGACAAGAACGGCAGGTTCAGATCTCAGAAATAAGTGTCTTACACACTTCGACTCGCCCGGACGGTCCTGACATCCGAATTCTCGAGTGGGGCACTCGCGTGAGGGCTTCTGGGAAAGCCACCGTCGTCGGTGTACGGGGTCTTCGTTTTACTTTTGCGTCGTGAGCTACACCGACGCGCGCTGGGCCCGCTGGGCTACACTGCGCTACGTCGCGTTGCGCATGAAGTTGGAGTGAAGACTCCCGTTCACAGCCAGCGTCAGCCAACGCTATCGAGCACGTGCGCTCGTTGACATTACGACGCGCGACGCCGACAAATGGAGTGTGATAAAGATTAACCGCTACGGCTCACTGCGGCTAGGTGGCGTAAGCTTCCGCCAGTTATAAAGAATACGATAAATATCCAAAAATTCATTATTTCATCCGACGAAGGGCGGACCCATCACTCTGGGTCCGGCGGAAAGCGAGAAAAAATATTTTTCGTTGTTTTCGAAGCGAGATTTTAGTATTACACCTTCTATACCATTAACATTTTGCGTCTTTCTCAAAATACAATGCACAACGTGCTCAAAACTAGGTATAATGATACCCATCGTAATCTCCATTGGTCCAGAAATAAAGAAATAGAACGCGAAAGAAAAGAGTCCGCATGCTTTTTATTGCCGTGATATCAGTGGGCAATATTGTAATCTGGAAGTAGACACCCAATAGACAATATAACACCAAAACAATTTTTTTCAAAAAGTACTTTAGTGCATCTTCAAGGCCGTTATAACAAGTGGCATTATAGCTTAACGCATGAGCACGCAGAAGTATGCAGTGCTACCAGAATTACTTATTTATTCGCTCTCATTTTTCCTTTTAGAGCGCAGCTCTTAGGGGCCCGTTTCCAGCCTGAGCGGCGTCGCCGTCGCCGTCGCCGTCGCCGTAACCGCGCCCCTCCCTCTCCTCCTCCTCCCCTCCTCCTCCTCCTTCTCCTCCTCCCCTCCTCCTCCTCCTTCTCCTCCCCTCACTGTCTAGTATGGTCCGGGCGGGTCACGTGACCTCGGGGGGAGGGGGTCACATGACCCGTTTCCAGCCTGTGCGGCGTCGGCGTCGGCGTCGTCCCTCCCCCTCCTCCTCCCCCTCCTCCCCCGCCAAGGTCACGTGACCCCGGGGGGCAGGAGGACTAGCAGGCGTGATCACGAGGGAGGAGGAGGAATATACCCTCCACTCCTCCTCCTCAAGAGCTGCGCTCCAATTCGGCGTTACAGGAAGTTGTAAACGGCTTTCACTTTTTTTTACGGCGGAGCTGTTAAGGGCTAGGTTTCCCAAAATCGTGTCCGCGTGTAGGTCGACACAAACCTACCTGGACAGCTACCGCCCCCTATAAGCGACGGCGGCACGCACACAATCAGTATTGTTTCCGGCGTCGCTCGTAGATTGCGCCAACCTTTCCAGCTATATTAGAAGAATGGATAGTTGGGCGCGTTGGTGCGAATTCATCGTAGGAATAAACAGCGCAAAAAACAGACGACGACGACGAAGAAGCACACACTGTATCGAGTACAGCTCTGCTGGTCTTCCTTCTTCACGAAAAAGAAAGGCTGTTTTTTTTTTTTTTTTGCAGACGCCATGCAATGGTTGTCGGAACCCCCGAAACGGAAAGGGAGGAGTCACCCGAAGCGACACTAGAGGTTGAAATGCACACTGCTTCCACAAAACAAGTAATTTATTGTTGCACAGCTGCTTATGATAGCGACAAAAAAAAAATCACTATTCAACACAGTGTTTTTCTGTGTGTATTTTTGGAACCACGCTAAAGCTCCATTTTTTGGCTTGGTTGCAAAATTTCTTTAAGGCTACGTCGTCAAGTTTTGCGAAGGAGTGATTAAAAAAAAATGCTCGCTTTTGTCCTTGAAATTTTACCGCAACAAAGGAGCGTTTTGGTGAGTGGCGTTTTGTGCGAGTATAGTTGAGTCCCACTAGTGCCGGAAACCTCGTGTAAAGTGCAAAATATTCCAAGCCAATATCGTCGCAAGGCCCTTTTAAAAAGGCACTGAAGCGCCTTTTATAAAAGGTTGTTTTTGATTTAAAACATTGGATTAGGCTAGTTTGTTCCTTTTAATCTAGAGGAATAAAAAGCTAGAAAAAAAAACAAAAAACACGGACGAACAAAACGGACTGGCGCGAAATGTCCTAATATTTGTTGTGCTTTAGTCAATAAAACAACCAGTTCTAGATGACGAAACGTCCTATTAAAATAACAGCAATACAAATACACGGGCCCTATTTTCGCATGCGGTTCCCACCACCTCCTTAAAATTTGACCAATGAAAATATATAATAGCGTGGAGGTTGCGAAACTCACAATTATTGATCTTTTTAGGCCCGTTGTGCATTATATTTGGACAAAAAACTTGAAATTCTCGGATGTAAGAGACCTAATACCGCAATTATCGTTTAAATACGATGTTTGACGGCGTTCTCTGGTGTCTGCTGCAAAGCGCCGAAAGAGGGCGTGTCTTTGAATATACTTCTAATAGGGAAATCAACCGCCCATGAGTGAAATATTGGTTTTTTAGGATGCTTACAGCCCGTAGATTGAAGTATCACCATGAACAAACGATCTCAGAATCCACTTGAGTGCCCCATATGTCATCCGCCTAAATGTCTACAAGTGCGAGGAGCGCGACTTGCGTATGCGAGCATGGTGTCCTGGCGTGGCTTCTTGGTGCCTCGCATGCTGATGATTTGGCCCTTGCTCCAGATGCCCACGTTGATGTACTTGTAGTTGTTTTTAATCTCGAATTCGAAGGTCTCAAGAAAGACGGGCTCCTGGAAAAGGAAGGAAAAAAGCTGAGGCCTCCCAACTGCGTGCGCGCGCGGAATCCTTGTCATTTCATATTTACTGAACTTTAAGGGCCCGTGAGGGTATTACATGAGGGGGGGGGGGGGTCATTCATATATACATGAAAAAAAAAACAGGCAGAAAAATAAATATAGTCAGGAATAGGTCGGTAAATGGTTAACGACAGGAAAAGTGTGGTTGAAGACTTGATTTAAAAGCGTCTGGGTCATTAGGATGCAACGCCTAGTTTGTAAAATATAACGTCGCGGTGCAGTACCTACGTTCACTAGTGACTCCCGAAGCAGCTCGCTTGCAAAAATACGAATGGAAGTTTTGTGTGAATCAGTGCGAGGGCGTGTAGGACTGAACTCTCTATGTGTTCGGTTCATGTTCTACTCCCTCGACAATATGCTTTCCTTCAGACAGCCAAACCTTTCGCTCGCTGTGTTTTCTACACGAACGCGCAGGGCATGGCTTATGTTCTGCTAATCGTCGAAAAATCACGTACTTCTAAAGAAGCTTGGTTTTATTTTCGTTTGTACGATTTATTTGGTACAGCTCGAAACCAATTCCTACCAAAATGCAACCTAGTGCGCGTAACAATGTGACAACATACAAAGATTTTGATCATGCAGATGGCGTTGGCGTTTTAGGCAAACTGGAAACTTGGTGTCACTATTTTAGGCAATTGAGCCTTGACACTGCAAACCATGTTAACATTATGTGGCCGAAATTTAAGGAAATAATGCTCGAATGCATTGAGCAGTACATTACCACCAGAACAAAAGAGGCATACCAACAACCCGTGGATTACGAAAGCTATAGACTACCAAAAGCCGAAAATCTCCAGATGTAGGGCAAACCTCCACAAAACTCAAAGTGAAGTCATACGTGAACCTATTAGAATTCTGAGCGCAAACCGAAAAACTGCCATGAAATGTGCTAAACGCAAATTCTATAAGATCACAATGTCTTGTTTTCTACTTGCTCACGAGTAATTTTGCCGAGTGGGCTGAAGCGCACTACCCAGCTCGACGCGCGTGGAGCGAAAGCTCGCGCTGCAGAACCCAGGGATCCTGGGTTCGAGCCCCACCCCTGCCCGTTTCGATCTGGATGAGCATCGTACCGGCGTGCGGTCGTGTATCACTACTGCGTGAGCACGTTAAAGACTCCAGGTTAGCAGTCGTACTGCACTGGCAAAATTGCTCATCTACAGTGTAACCAGTGTCGCCCCTACTGGCAGACAAACCTTACACTGTATAAATCACTAAAACGTCCAATTTGACTTTTGACTTTTGAGGAACGACATTTCCAAATTGGTTAACAATGTTGAGCCAGTAGTTGAAAAAGTTGACGTAGCCAACACGTTTAGTAATTTTTTTCTACACTATTTTCAATCGATGATTGTGTGTCACCAGTGTTGCATGAATACTCTGATATTCCAGCGATCGATCATGTACCCTTGTCTTATGAAGGAATGTTTGGGTACTACTTAACGTTAACCCTTACAAGTCAGAAGGACCTGACGAATTCCCAAACGCATTTTTGAAAAGATACGCTAAATGGTCTTCCAAATATCTTAATATTTTCAGGCATTATTGCTTTCTGCTTCTATCCCAGACGATTTGAAAAAGGCTAAAGTTATTTCAATCCTAAAGTCAAGTGATGTGTACGATGTATCAAACTATCGGCCGGTTTTACTAACCTCAAGCTGCTGCAAACTCTTGAACACGTAGTTTCCAAGCATATTAACACATTTTATATAATTATTTCATACTCAATAATAAGCAACACGAATTTAGAAAGAGCATAGCCGCTGTGACACAGCTAACTGAAGTCCTCCGTTATTTTTCACGCATTTTAGGCTTCCTTGAAGGCTTCCTTGATGTCTTCTTTGAAGACTTCAAGGAAGCCTTCGATAAAGTAAGCCATCAGAGGTTAATGATCGAATTACGATTAATTTAAGAAAAACCAGCTCTTGTTTGGGTGGATATATTTCTTTTAAATAAACGAAGACATGTCTCGAAAATAACAGCGCAAGTAGGGAATCCACCCAAACACACACGCCCCCACAGACCGCAAAAACAATCACACTTAGGGGTACATTCAAAGCGGACAAGACACTCACAGAGCGCTGACTCTCAACTCAATCTCTATTCTTGCACTTTTTTTTTTCTTCTACGCCTTTTCGATACATCAGTTCAAAATTTCAAGAAATAAGCACAGTTGGCATCTACAAGAATACGCATACAATAAAGAGTGTTTTGAAAATTTGTTTTTCCCACGCAGCATACGCGAGTGGAATGGATTCGCCCGAACGTGTTGTGTCTTGCAGCCGACCTGAGGAATCTGTTTCTACATTGAGCGCGCGCTTCCTGAAATTTAGATCTGTTTGCACGAAATGCAAGTGACTTTCTTGTTTGACCCCTGTGTATTTTTGTTTGAAGTGTTCTTTTCCCACTCCTCTAATGGTCCTAAACACAGGACTAATATTATATGAAATAAACAAATATAATATTTCGGCAGCGAATAAGGTGCCTTCATTATAGTAAGTCGACTGATTTATTTATTTTAATTAAATAAATAATCAAAAGGACGTAAGATGTTTTGGTTTTGGCGTAGAAACATGTCTCGAATTTATTGAGCTTAACGACTGCAGATACCAACCTATCCTGGAAGAATCGAATGGTAGCCAACGTGTTGCGACGAAGAAAACCCCGAAGTGGCAGTTTCGAATCTCGGCCGAGGTCCCCGCAATCAGACTCAGGATTATTTCGGAGAAAGCGTCGCATAACCGAGACTTTAAGTGCATGTTAAAAATGATCGAATGTAACCCTTTGTACTCCACTAAGGCATGCAACACAAGCACGTAGCCAGAATTTTGTTTCGGGGGGGGGGGGGGGGGGGGGGGCACCCATGACAAAACGCTGTGTCCGGGGAGGGGGGAGAGAAGGTCCCAGCAAGATGGAAGATTTGTTTTTTTTTTTTTGGGGGGGGGGGGGGGGCGAGCCCGGGCCCCGTGGGCCTCCCCCCTGTCTACGTGCCTAATGCCAGATGCCCTTCGTTAGTTTGGCACCTAAACACTCCACATTTTACTTTTTTTCACGAAGAAGGTTGGCACGCATTTGTGAGTGTGGTATCTAGCAGATGTTTACCCTGAATTCCCAATTTCTGTGTACTCATGTCACATCCGGGGAATGCAGCGATCTTCACGGTCCTAGTGGAGGCAGAGCAGAAGAGCTGCCCATGCCAATGTCCTCCTATTTTCGGTGCGCGAAGTTCACCTCCGTTCGTTTAGACCGCTCGGAAGCCACGCAGAAGGAGCGCAATTATTCTGTATCTCTAATGTTTCCTCAAGCCGCGGTGCTTTAAACGAAAATTGCCTCAGCGCCCTGTCAATAATGAGTGAACGCGGTGCCCTCATCGCGTAAGTCCCGTTCCGACAACGGGCGCCAGCGCACACGGCAATAACTGCGAGCCGTCACCCGGCGAACACAACGGCTGGAGTAGAGTTTTGGGGACTGGCAATCTCAGAGGATTTAACGTGGTTAGTTTTGCCATATTTCGGTCAGCGGCAAGTAGCCTAAAAGTCACTCCGGCGGCTAGGAGTTAAGAAGTGGAAAGCGACATCTTCGTCCTTTCGCCTACTTCGAGTGCTTCGAGTGTTCCCATAATAAATCACCATGATCGCCACAGCCCGTGTAGTATTCCATAGAGACCTCTAGTGTTTTTCGTGACTGTTTTTTGTGTGTTTCGTTTTAGTTTGGGGGTACTTGTGCGGCTGTACTTGTCGCAATGCCGGCCATTGGTATCTCGCCAGGCGGAATGTTTTGGTTCTTTAACAGATGGACATTTCAGAAAAGTGTTTACTTTAAAATACTCCACGATTGATTCAATTGTTTGAATTTAGAACAAAAATCAATGCGTAAGACTAAAGCACACTAAACAAACCGGTCAAAAATGCTTGAATGGAAACTTTGATTCCATCAAGTGCCTTGGCGAAAGGTCGTCTAACATTTAGAAGCGACCAGGAGGTTCATTTTTGTAAGCTTCCAAGTACCCTGAGAAACTTAAGGGTTCACTTGTAATTCAATCAGCTTAGTTAACGGCGTACTCACGCGCGTGGAAAGGACGTAGGTGGTTCGCTTGATCGGGAAGCCCTTCTGCTTTGCCTTGTTGAAGATATCTTCGCTGTCTCCAATCTTCTTCGTTTTGGTGGTGCCTGTGTCGGATGTGCAGACACGACGCCATCCCTTAGGCTATGTCGACGACTGTACCTGTATTCACACATCCACAGCCACTTGCACATAGTGCAGTTTGGTTTATGTGCGTTGCATCGTGGCGTCCCAATCAATCCTCTGCAACCTGGCTTGTTGACAAACGTGTTCTTTCGTGGTTAGTTGATGTCGTGCAAGCATAAAACAAATGATAACCAGCAAGGTATCTAGAATCACTCTGCGAGTACTGTGTCTTGTTTGTTAAGCTGGTGTCGTTAGGCTCAAATAATAAGTGAACATCAGGCAAAGATGCGAACAAACTGGTGAAGGGTAACTACATTTAAAAAAAAAATCCTATTCTGGAGGCCAGTCGGTACACTTGCGAATTGTTAGGACCGTGTGCCCATAATCAATGAGTTCCAAGTGTGTGAACGGGCGTTGAGGTCAACAGGGCACACGGAAGACTCAAACAAAGCTGTGCTATATATATAAAAAAAGATGTGAGTTAGTTTTCCTGCAGAATATGAGGGCAGCCCATCAATGGGATCACTAGAAGAATACAACCGAACGACCAAGCGATTACACGTGTAGAATGCGATGTGCGCAGGGACAATGGGAAAATGAAACGATAATTATGTTTACTGACCCTGAGAACATCCTATTTTTTGTCTGATTGTTTTCTAAGCTTCGTCATTTGCTTAGGTGCTTCTACTGTTCGTTATATCTCGTTGTCTAGTGTTTTCCGGAAGAGTGAGCTCAGAGACCTTTTTAGAATGTGTTTGTAACTTTGCTGTGTTGCGTTGCTCCACGTGTGTATGGTTTTCTCAGTTTTGTTGAAGATTTCTTCACTACGACATACGTAAATGTTTCAGCTGTTATCAGGAACTGTGTCAAATATTAGCGTACAGAAATTCACAATAAATAAGAAAGCGCAACGATCCCAGTGTAAAGCTGTTGTACATATGATATTTTCGCTTGGTTTGCGTTCCTTTCAGACGGGAAAACGTTATCTTACTCGCGTTATGTTTTTTTCTATATTATGACGCAGCGTGAAAAATTATTATACAGTTACACGTTTAAACTCTTCTAGTTCTCGTAGTTAATTTGTCGCTGGAACTTTACGAGAAAGTTGCCTCATACCTCCGAGCAGATTGGCCAGCGATGTCCTGGAGGTGAACAGTCCGGTCTTGGACCTTGAGCTGTCGTCATTGGCGTTGCTCGTCTGAGGACCCGCAGTGGTCTCTAATTGCTGCATCGACATATTTCATCGCTTTCAAACGTGGTAGCGTCGTCCCGTAGCAATCGAGGAAGTAGCGACGCCTTGGTATAGAAGCGCTGCATCACTATATGAGAGGAGGGGAACGCCAGGGAGGTCCTTCAAGTGTCCCGCGTCTAGCGCGAGCTTCGTACCTTCGCTAAAAAAAACTCGGTGTCTTTTTGGGCACGCTCGCGCAGCCATGTCGCTGTGGGACGTAACATGCGCGTTCTGGATCCTGCACATTGAAAGTATTCTCCCTTTCGTTCTCATCCTTTCAGTGACTAGAGTGGAACGTAGAAAATCACAATCTATGGACACTGTGACGATCGCACGGCATCTCGCCTTTTAATTTGACATTTCAGGCTTGTTAAGTAGATATAAAAACTCGTCTTGGATAACACTTATGGTTTTGTCATTCGGCTGGTGGGTTTTCAGCCTGGTGGGGCGCTCTAGAAAGCCGACGGCTATTCGGCTGGTTGAAGTCGGGCACTCTAAATACATTCATTGGTACTTTCGGTGCGCGCTCGGAGTTTCAAGTCGTGCCGTCCTCTGACTCGTAGCGTTGTGAGGCGCTCTGAAGTCGAAGTGGGAGCGGTGGGAGCGCCTGCCAGAGAACCGGCTACATGACTCCAAACACTTCCGTTGCTTAGACCTCCCCCCCCCCCAAAAAAAAAAAAAAAAAATGCCGACAAGGCGGAGACGTTTAGCGTCGGACGCGGCCGCGTTTGAATACCGCGCCAATCCCGCTGCGCTGTGCAGTGGTTGCAGGAGGTGCCCGGCGCTCTACGGGAGACCGTAGCGAGGACCAGCTTTCGCGTTCAAAGCTCCCATTTTATGTTGGGGCATGCCGGGGCCTTTTGCGGTGGCGCTTTAGATGAATGATATTGGTTAATCCCTTCGTATCGGGCGATAACTTGCACCATAAGAGCGAAGCGGTTCCGGAAGTTTCCCTCAGTATTCCAATTCCGCGTCGGAACTCGAACCTCTCGGAGAAGGTGCCGAGCATTCGGTTGGAGAGCCGTTCCTCTAGCTTGGATTTGGAGGCGCTCCCAGATCTCGCATATCCGATTCAGAGAATCGGAGCGCTCGAAAACGACCAACCGAATATTACATTACGCTCACACGCAACCGAAACCAAGCGGAAGGCAACGAGTGCGCGCTGGAGAAAGATCATCTACTGCATTTTTAGCCTATCACCAAGCATAGGTAGTTTTTCACAAGCGCATTTGACACACTAACGTCTCAAATTGCGCATGCTCAAGAGATAGGCTATCGATGAGCGAAGCATAAATGCACATGCTCCGTTGCGCACCAGCGCCGACGTCGTCATGAACGGGTGTTGGTGCATACGAAACATTGAAGGTCAGGCGACAACGCTCGAGTGCTGTAGCCTTCCAAGGTGCAACGTCGTTTTTCTAGATAGTACTCAAAGTAGGTAAATATTTATTTCCTTTGTACATGAGCGACGTTGAACGTGTTGCTCAAAATTTAGAATGCTACTAAGAAGAAATTTGATCTGAGTTAAATAGAGCTACAGGTCGCTGAATGAATGCGTACAATTTAACCCTTTTAATCGGATGGCGGCTTCTGTCATCTATTCAGTGTGGTATCTTATTGCTTGGTGGCACTTTTTAGGGTGATCAGCGACCTCTAAAGCGCGAGACACATGGACGGCAGATTCGTCCGATCCGACGTCCGATCCGACAGTCCGAACGCCGCTCCGAATCGCCGTACGCGACAGTTTGAGACACACGCTTCCGACCTTGCATGCGACACGACGATCCGTTCGGCTCCGCCCAGGAGATCCAAGCACTCCAGCGGAGGTCCGCGTTCATAGTTCTCTGGTCCCAGATTGACGGTTCAGCTCGCACGAGCGAAGTTAGGAGCTTGTTCTCGCTAGCGCGTGCATTCTTTGCTGGGGCCATCTTTCTCGAATGGGTCAGCTGGATTCACGCGTCCGGCTTCCCCTCGCCCGTCCCGTTATCGCGTTCGCTCAACACCTTGGTTCGCTTCGTCCCGCCAGACCCAGTACGTCATCATGACGTTCGAGCTAGCTGTGCTGTCATTGGCTGACGCATCCGACAATCCGTCCGCCGTGCGAAACTATCTGGCCCGTTGGACGCACGTCGGATCGCCAATCCGACGCCTGAAGCGACAAAATTTTTCGGATCAGGCAGTCGCACTGCCGGATCGGACGTCGGATCGGATGGATTTTTCGCGCATGTGTCTCGCGCTTAACAAGTAAGACATTGGGCGCTCGAATGTGCGCAACCAGCGCGGTTCGTCAGCCAGAAGTTTCGCTCCACATCTCTACGAGAGACGACTCGTCACTCTCACATTTCTACTTTTGGGGAGCACATGATAAACCTACTATTGGTGTATACTCGCCTTTTTTATGGGCTCGTACTAGCTTTTGTGCGAGTTATTGCCATTCTTTATGCCCTATTAAATCTACGCCCGTCTTCGGATCACATAGATATGTCCGAGTTCCATTACACTTCAGTTTTCTATTTGTGAATACCCGTGCTCTCATGAAGCGTGATTGAGACTGCGCACATCAGCTTTACGGATCAATTTTTAGCAAAGATACTTCGAAGCGAGCAAATGACGTACCACCCTTTGAGTGGCTTCAATGGGCTGTTGCCGCTCTTGCTTCTGCCCCCACTTGAATTCCGACTTTCTCTCAATCCGCATCGTGATCCTGGCAAACAAATTTGAAAACTTAGGGCCGGTTGCACCAACGCCGCTTAGCGCAAAGCGGAGCTTAGCCGGGAACCTAAGCTTAGTTTCGGTTTCGTTCGGTTGCACCAAACTCGCTTATCGCTAAACCTAGCACTAAACTACGCTTAACTTAAGCGCTTAACATTGGGCGCTTTGCTTTTGGTTGTTTCTTAATCCTGGATTAAAACATGGCGGCTGGTTTGTCGCGGTCGACGCGGTGGACGAAATTGGTTGTGCAAAGTGTTTTAGGCTACATCAGCGTGAAAGTCTCGACAAAATGACCTTCGATTGTGACAAGGATGCAAAATATTGTCGCGTGAAGTGTTTATCGACCCCGGTTTTCAAGTTGGCTCTCCACTCTCAGGGCGTGTTAGCCCTAACCGAGATAAGTACGGAGCTGTGTGTCTGTGGGGCTCACGGGGCTCACGTCTCTCTTCCCGTTGGTTCTTCTGTCAACGAGCTTATTCGTATGTACTTACTAATTTTCGCATAACCGTAACGTATTGTTATTTACCACCTTGTTTATTTACACTTGCAGCGCGTATTGTTCAATTCGATCAGCGCGTTGAAACATGATCTCGGCGATCAGCTGATTGTCGACACCTCTGCCGTTCGCATTAGATTGCGGCGCTTTTAAGTAATAAAACAACGAAAATTCAATTTCTTTCGTTTTCTGAGTGTTGACCCAATCTTCAGTGAATTTTCCTAACCTCGCGAGTAGAATCTTGGCTTCAGAAAACTGTATCGTTCCATAACCGTAACTTTTTTAGTTATCGCGATTTTTTTGGAATAATTTGCTTTCTATCTTTCATTCGTGGCGACGACAAATCGTAACGACTACTATGCTAGATTCGTTCATTGCTATATCGGGGCAGGCTGGGGCAGGCGATGCGAAGAGACGACCGTTCTTATCGGCACGATGTGATGTACTAGTGGGAGTTTTTTTTTCTGAACTCGACAGTGTGAAACTGAAGTCCGTTTGAGGCTGCAGCGGATGTTCAACGACGGTACAGTGCAGTTCTGTCACCTTGCTGATAGCAACGAGTACCGTCGATGCAAGGTCTCGTGACCTGACCTCTCGACGACTTCTATTCGACGATTTCCGGGCATTTTCGCAGCTGCCGTGGCGAGTTCGTCACTGTTTTGAACTTCATCGGTCTCAGGTTTGACTTAATTTTAGTAGTCATCTTACCTGCCTACTTATATCCATGATGTTTTGTCTTCAGCGATGTAGCGAGTAGAGTGTCCTTCTCGCGTTCGGTGAGATTTGGGGCCCCCGATGGCTCCTTCGCTTCAAAATGTGAGCACGAAAACTACTACCACTGTCAAAATAACCTGTTATCAACCGATATTAAACACACAATCACAGATGTAAAGAGCATTCGTGTTTATTTGTAGCTTTGACTTCTGTTATTGAAAGTTAAACGAAAAAATGATTGAATTTGGAGACCTTTAATTTGTTACTCACCAAAGAAATACAGCGAAAAGCAGACGCCGACGACGACTACTACGGCAGTTTTTTTTTTTTTTTTTTTTTTTTGTTTACATCACGCGATTCCTCTCCACCAATCGTATTCGTCCCTCTGAGCGTTCCCTAGTTCGCTCTGTTTGTCCCTAGATTCCCTACGCAAATCCAGCGTTTAGCTAGGGGCGCGTCTGTAAAGCCGGCTTAACGTTGGTGCAACCGGAATTTAAACCCGTGCTTACCTGAGCTCGGTTTAGGGCGCTAAGCCGGCTTAGGAAAGTGCCGCTTTGGGTTAAGATAAGCGGCGTTGGTGCAACCGGCCCTTAGTGTCTCTTATATTTTAGTTGAAAATTTGAATATAAGAATTATGAATTGTCTTGTCTTGCACCTACTTTTCTCCAGCCTTGGAGAGGAGACGGAAGGCCTCCTTGGCGTCCGTCACGTCGTGATCTTTGACTGAGAGGACCACATCTCCCTGCACAAGCACGCCAACAAAACAACAAACACACTGCAGCGTTAAGCTTGCAGGAGCGCTGTTCTTAACGTGGACTCTTTGAGACTTGTATGGGATGCAAATCTGACTGGTGTCTTATGCCCGAGTTTCATTGGTGCGACAAATAAAAACAACCGACACCAACAAGCCTCGTGCACATGCAGCATGCACGCGAAGGTACCTTGACATGCTTGTGGTCCCTGGGTGCTCGTGAAATAAACACGAGTGATTGCGAGCCCGCCAAAGATACCTTCGCGTGTTTCCTGCACGTGCGCGAGGCTTGACGGTGTTGCTTGTTTCTCTTGGTCGCGATAGTGAAATTTGGGCTTTAGCCTCACTCAGGTTCGCTCAGCATCTGTCGGTGTGCGAGAACAACTAATGACCTACTCGGGCGAATGGACGTCGAAGCTCTCATAAGTCTAGGAACTGGACGAAGGAAGCTGAGTCAAGCAAGCCAAAGCCAATAAAGATTTTCACGCCGGCACCGAGCTAGCAAAGTTGTGAAGGGTCTATGGAGCAAGATATGAACTCTTGAATATGTTCTGTGATGCGTAAATTGGTGAGAAGCTAGTTGTTAACATTCAATCTAGCAGTGACGTGCTACACTTTCACTGACCTCGATACAATACGCTGTCGGTGCAAAAGCCACTAAATAGGCTACGTGTGTCGGCCCCCCATTTCCCGATTTTCTTAGGGGCGCCGCCATTTTTGTACTTAGAGGAAATCGGGTGCAATCGGCGATTGGGAAGAATAAACAATGCGACGTTCTAAACTCCAAGTACGGCGTAAGGACTGCTTTTACATATCTGGAGAGCAAAAGACCCTTCCTTTTGATGTTTGATAAGGCTGCGGATAACATGTAACAAATATTTTATGCACCAAGGTGGCTGAAATTTCGTTTATCCTAAGCGCATATCTCCTCCAACTCAGACTACCTATGGGCCTGTCTCAATTCTCACAAACTCCCCAACCTCTTTCTTTATCACCTTCTTTCCCACCAACATCCTCAGAGAGGGACAGAGTTGGCCAACTCTCCCAGGCTGCTTGAAACCACGTGGTGGCCCTACCTTGTCAAACGTCAAACATGTTAAGGGCTCGCTTGGCGAGTAAAGGTAGACCACCGCAACGAAGCTCCGCATTTGGGAGTTACAAATAAACGTTCTGTCGCTATCTGAAGATTATTTAGTACGTCTTGTGGGGGCGTGTGGTGATCATTATAAACACTCTTTGATATGCTTTATTGAATTCTGAGTACCCACCTCGAGCAGTCCTCCGAGAACGAAAGGCGAGTTTGGAGCGATGGTGTCCACCACCACGCATTCCCGATACTTTCCTTCGATCAATTTCTAAAAAGAACGAAAAAACAAAAAAAGCTTTCAGCCTTTCCACTCTGGTGAAGAAGAAAGACCAGCGAAGCTGTACTATGGTGGGAATGAAGTAATGGCCGGCCGCAAGTCGGCAAGCCAGAGTGGAAAGGCTCGATAGGTTGCCGCCATCTATGAACGACGGCGGCAACAAGACAACCGGCGACCCGGTTGTCTGGTTGCCACCGTCGCTCATAGATAGCGGCAGCTGTCCAGAGTTCTGTGTGCTCATTTTTTTGCTGACGGACACGATCCTGGGGAAGCTGGCCCTAAACAGCTCCGCTGTAAAAAGATTAAAGACGTTTACAAACCTTTGTAACACGAAATTAGAGCGCAGCTCTTGAGGAGGAGGAGGGGAGGGTACGGAGGGTAGGGTATGCCCCATCCTCCTCCCGTTCTCTTCTGCTTCTCGTCCTCCCCTCCATGTCTCCTCCCCTCCTCCTCCTCCTTCCATCCTCTCTTCTCCCCTCCTCTTCTTTCTTCCTCTCTCCTCCTCTCCCCTCGGCTGTTCCTCCTCCCCCGTACCTTCCCCTCCTCCTCCTCCGCACGTGACGCCAATTTTCCTGCTAGAGCTAGAGGAGAAACTAAATTCGTTCATAGGTGACGTGACACTAAGTCATGTGACGTCATTTTCCCCGCCAAATTTAGCGGGGAAACTGAATTGGTGTTGAGGCCATGAACGTCAATTTTTCCGCTACAGTTGCCGCGGAATCGAAATGCTGTTGAGGTCACGTGGTTTCAATTTCCCCTTCAAATATAGCGGAGAAACCAAATTTGTTCATAGGTGACGTGACACTAACGTTATTAGATTACCTCAGTTGTGGAAGTACCGCGGAGGGGGTACCCCCTCCCCCCTCACTTACTTCAATCTGCCAGCCGTCGTTTGAAGCGCCATCTATATTTTCATTTTATAACTGTGCGTTCCAAAAAGCCCAGCTGAAGCGCCAAATGGCGATCACAACGCCGCCATTTATCCTGCAGCGGTCACTCGAGGAATTGCACGTAACATCTATTTTGGCTTCAATCGGCCATTTCTGAGCCTAAACAGATACAGTGCAAAGGGTTACAGGGAAGACACCCCCTTCTCCCCAGCGGACGCGCCGCGAAATAACCCCGAAGTTAAGATGAGCCTAGGTCGGGACGCGCTACCTGAATTCACCACTGAGGCATGGTTGTATGAAAGCAACATTAATTGTATTGCAAAACCTTGCAAATTAAAGATTTTATAAAACATCCCACGCCCCCATTTTGTACTTAACTCCAAAAAAAAAGTTACTACAAAAAGATTTTTTTTCCGTTGGTTTTTACGTTTCCAGTAACGTTGAAACGTACGTATCCCGATTCAGTTACCAGAGCAGCCGTCTGGCGGCGCGTCGAGCGACACCGGGCGAGTCGTGGTGAGTGAAAGAAGGTAACGTTCGTGTATGCAGTGTCTATGAGCAGTTCCGTAACTGAGCTATACTAATAACGTTGCTTGACACCAAGTCCTGTGATATCATTTGACCCGCTAAATTTAGCGGGGAAATTGAATTGCTGTTGAGGTCAAGTGACGTCAATTTCCTCTCTAAATCCCGCGGAGAAACTGAATTTGTTCCTAGGTGACGTGACACCAAGTCATGTTGCGCCATTTGCGCCGCTAAATCTAGCGGGGAATTGAATTATTGGTAACGTAAATTTCCCTGCTAAATTTAGCGTAATTACGCCGACTCCGCGAAACCCAGAAACGGGCGCCTAAGAGCTGCGCTCTAAAAGAAAGGTGGAACTGAGTAAACCATGTTGCATCTCGCACACCAAATGCCCCCTAGCCTCGGATTTAATCGTAAGACGAGATGTATGATTGTCCAGCAACACCCAGGGCGTTGCCACTTTTTGCATGTCAGCACCCTCTTCCGCCACGTTTTTGCTTTCTTGGATCGGTAATCAATGCACCGCTGCACGCGCCACCAGTCCCATGAAAACATCAGACCTTAGTGTTGGTTGTTGATTGGTAGCTCAAGCCATCTTTGTCGACATTTTTATCCCTACTAGAGCAGTTGCTAACTTGCCACGACGTGGGGAAGCTTATATCTTGAAACTTTAGAGCTGCAGGCCGATGCATTCCGAATCCCGGTTCCTCACTGCTTATCTCAGTTTTTAAAACGAATGCACGTGTCGACCTATACAACCTGCCTTTGTGTAAAATTCTGACGCAAGAGGCGTAATCAAATGAAACGCGTTTGTCTCTCGTCACGTATACTACCGACAAGGGGCCTAATGATGTAGCAACGGTGGTGATAAAGGCAATCCAAAGTTCTAATAAGCGAGCCTTAAGGTTTTTCGTCTGTCTAGCTTGTTTTAGATGCTATTAAAAATGGTGATGTTTGATGCAATTGAGAACATCGTCGGTGTAATCCGGCGTAATATTTTGATGACATTGTTTTCGATGCTATTGAAACCATGGCGGGTGTAATCTTCATGGAGGAAGGGTGTCGATCAGTCGACATTCATTGCAGGATGCAGGGTTTATGTCGTAACAAATGTGTATCGAAGACAACAGTGACTGACAGGGCGCGAACGTTTTCGAAAGGATGTGAGGAAACGAAATATCTTCTGAGACGGGGCGCGTCGCTGCAAAAGGCGGACGCTACCTGCTGCCTCCCCAGACAGTGGGACGCGTGGCTGAGTAAGTACAGTCAGCACGGAATGAAACCCGAACGCCGGAACGCGTGGCCATCGATACAGGCTGCTCCACCTGGAGGGCCCCTGAGAACTAATGAAAACGCACCTGGGTGCGAGGGTGCGGGTCCCACTAAGATGTCCTCAACCCTCGCGTGGGGCGTTTGGGACTTCCGCGTTTCGCCGGTGCTCTGTCGCCGCACTGTCGCCCGGTTCACACCGGGTGGCCGCTTCACCTGCCTATAGCTCTTTGCGATAGGCCCTGCTCAGACAGGGTGATGAAATTTATTCCGCTCCAGAATTGATACGCCTGGCATATCGGTGGTTACCAAAGAGAGCGTCAACAAGCGATTCCTCACTTTTTAAGAACCGACTGATAACCTCGCACGAAAACATGCGCATTGCTCATAAAAACCGAGGCATCCGCGTCAGTCTGTTGCAGCATTTTATTTGTTCATAAAGAGTATGGTCGTGCGAACAAACAAATTTTATTTCGCGTTTATGACGGTTCACTATTTGTTAGAAACCGCGCGTGGTACGTTGTTCACCGCAGGGTGGTTCCGGTGACACGTCATCAAGCACTACGGGTCTTCCGTGCACGAAATGTTTCAATTTTCAATTCGGCCTTGCGATACACAACGCGATAGTGAATGACAGCGCTGAAGAGATATCGCTGGGAATCCGATACACAAAGTGAGTGACAGTGCCTTTTTGTTTCCTATGTGACGGCGCTTGCAGCGCGCCACCGGCGAAACGCGGAACTCCCAAATACGCCGCGCGAGGGTCGATCTCATCTAAGTAGGACCCGCACTCTCGCACCTCGGCGCATTTTCATTAGTTCTCAGGGGCCCTCTAGGTGGAGCAGCCTGTATGAACGGCCACGCGTTCCGGCGTTCGGGTTTCATTTCGTGCTGACTGTACATGGACCTCTTCTAAGGAACCATGGTGCATTCTTACTTCTCTATACGTTGCCTCGTTTGATTATTCCCTTCCTGCTTATATACGTTTTCATTCGTTTTAATGATGCTACACGAACGGGTTCCTTTAATTTCATCGCGCATTTAGGATCTGCCAAAAAAAAAAATCTGTTCAAGGAGAGCGCGCTGAAAGCACCACGCAAAGGCGTTACTGTAAAACCCTTTATTTTCGCGGCCCCTATTTTTCGCGAGTCGGTCACACATCACATATTAGCGACCACTAAATTTCCCGAATTCCAGACGCCTGAATTGAAAATCCTCAGGACCGAAATTTTCGCGCGCCCTTAAATTTCGCGAATTCTTCCATTCGTGAAATTCGCGAAAATTGATGGCTCGCGAATATTAAGGGTTTTACAGTATCTCTTCACCTTAAGGTAGATTGCTGCGGATTCGACGGGTCATCTTCGCCGATGGTGTTCCGCAGGCGCAATAGGCGATGGTTTAGCACCGCTTTGTGAGTACCTCTTGGTCTCGTGGCACTCTCCTGAAGCGGGATTAGCCCGAATGAGTCTTAGAGCCCTTTCGTGGTGCTTTCAGTGTGTGATGAAGTATAATTGTTCGGTGCACGGTGGCTAATAATGAGCGTTGTACTGGAATCGTACCGAGTCTTTATGGAAACGGCGACTGTCTATTTGTTGTTGTGTTCAAATTCTTTTTACAGTCTTCGATAAACTTAATGTTTTGCTTCTACTGCATCAAAGTTACCTGCTTAAACTCGACGCCTAGAGGCTGCGTCTTTGTCTTGACTACCTCCAGCTCGATCGGTATCCAGGGCGTTCCCACGACCTTGTCCAAGTTGATCCACTGCGAATCCTCTGCGCAGAAACCATTCCAATAATCGCCTTCTTCGCGCTGCCATCTTGTTCACTGGCCTGCGGAACGGATTCTGGGCATGCGTACTAGTGCAGTGCGGAATACCAGACTAGGCATGCGGAAGGTTTGGGGAAACCAGTGCGACTTATACGAGACGGGACCCAAAAGTATCCGGAATGAATTTCTAGAGGGCGGGTTGTTCTTTGTTACAGCTTCAGCCGCTATACTTTGTTTCAGCTTAAGTCCGGAGGCAGTCGATGCTACAAGTGCGAGCTCCGGGTCTTCAGTGTGCCTGCCAAGCAGTCCAAGTCAGTTTGCCGACCGGCGTTGTCTGATAAAGTTCAAGCGGCATGTAAAATTTTTTCCCCAAGCGCTTTAAAGTCATTTTTTTTTTCTTTCTTGGAATGACTGATTTGAAGGAACCGAGTACGGTCGTGGAATTATGTTTTCTTTCAGAGAAAACAGCGGCGGAAACACTTGTAATGCTTCAGACAGCTTACGGGAAAGATGCTATTAAGAAATCTGAGATCTACGTGCGGTTTTCTCGGTTCAAGGCTGGTGAATTATTGATCGGTGACCAACCTCGTTCACGACGACGCTCAACCTCCTCAACAGGTGAAAACATTGAAAAATTTTGGGATTGTTCAATCAGACTTTGTTCCTCCCTCTGAAACCGTTAATCAGGCGTTTTACCTGGGAATATTGCGACACTTTTGCAAAACAGTGAGGCAGAAACACCTCGATTTGAGTGAAAAAAGGAGAGTGACAATGTCCCAGCACACAAAGTCCTGTTCGCCCGTATCAAGCATTTTTGAAAGAAAATCGATTTTTGAATATGAAAAATCCTGCAAACCAAATATCACATAAGAAAAAGAAAAAAAAAGAGGAATGAATTTGAAGCGTTTGGGAAAAATATTTCGCATCATGCCGCTAGAACTTTAGCAAACAACACCGGTCGGCGAACTGACTGGAAAGGGGTGCCGCTAATCGCTGCTAGTGGCGGAATCTGGTACTATAAAAGCCCCGCTCTCCAGAAAGGCCTTCCGGCTACTTTTAGGTCTCCCCTTGTAATATGGTGCCGGGAGGTGTCTCCAACCGGTGCGGTTACCGCGTCTGAAAAAGTGGTCCCTCAATTTCCACCCGAGGACACCATAGAAGTATCATGATGTCGACGGCCGTGATCCTGGCGGTGTCCCAGCTGCGGTGCTGTATGTGGCAGACGCCTGTTCCGCTGTCGGTCGATCTTCAGCTTGACAGCCCACAGAAGCTTCGGCAGTCATCAGTTGGGACGCCGCGACGACAGCGACACTCGCGTTCGCTCATGCTTTTTGTCAGCATTTCTACGACCAATCTCTATATAGTGACATGATGCAGCATGACAGTCCGGCTATTGTGACGTCATTTGTTTGTTCGTTGAACCACTTTCGATGCATGGGCGAAGACGGCGCTAAACACACCAGTCGGAGACGTGTTCCAGACACCGTACTTCTACGCTAGAAAATACGGTACACGTAATCACACTGCGCACTAACCAGGACCTCGGTAACATTAGTGTCACGTGACATGACGTGTCACCTTTTTAAACGAATCTTCTACATTTTATGTCAAGGGTTTCCCGCCAAATGTACCGGAAAAATGTTGAACTCTCTTTAGATGAAACATTTTCATGACGAGACGTCATGTGACAAAGTACTGTCATACCACGACTAGAATGGACAGATAGGCTAGTTGACATGCATTGATAATGAAAAAAGAAAAGCTGGTCGAAATTAAAAGGACAAAGAGGAGAGAACGAAGAGGACAAGGCGCTGTCCTGTGTGTTCTTCTTTTTCTTGCATTTCCGCGCTGTTTTTTCATCATGCCGCATCTCAAACAAAAACTAAATAGTTTCTTAAAAAAAAAAAACGACTTAGAAGGGAGATATAAAGTGTTTTTATCCGGTGAATCTGAATATCCCGTCCACTTTCTCAGAAGATGTAACTAAACGCGAGAAAATTCGCAAAACTCCGACCAGTCGTTACGTCATGCCCAGACCTTTCAGCCGCCACGCGCGTGTGGATCGTAATGGACGCGCGTGAAGTTGCAAGCTTGCCAGGTTTCTCTCGCAGCGACACCAGTCGTGACGTTGTTTTTTTAAACTATTGGAGAATAGCGAGAACGCGCGTGCTTAGCGAGGCGTTGAAGGTGCGCGACAGCGGAGATTCCGACAACTCCGGATATGACATCACGCTCGGCTAGTTTGAAAATGACTTTAAGCAACCTGCGCGCACCAAATTAAAGAGAAAATATATATATGTATATGTTTGTGATTCTGGCATTCTAGAATCGTCTGCGAATCTTCATTATTAGCGACTGTTATAACTACGAACCAGTGCACAGGCAGAAAGTTACTCAAAAATCCAAACACACAAAAAATGCACCCACACAGTGCTGAACTATCAACTCATCTGTATTTTAAACATCCTCTTCTTCGACCCCAAGGAATAGGTTGCCAGCCGATCTAACAAGGGAAAAGAAGGAAAAGTGAAAGACAAGTCAAGGGGATCGTTTTCCTTCCCTTGCCTTGTCTTTCACTTTCTTTTCCTTTGTCTTGTTTGTTGGGCTGGCAACCTATTCTTTGAGGTCGTAGAAGAAAAACTTCGAAATACAGATGAGTTGATAGTTTAGCGCTGCATGAGTGTACTTTTTTGTGTTTGGATTTTCGAGTAACTGTCTACCTGTGCGCTCGTTTGTAATTATGCCTTACCCACTCGCCCAATCTACAGTATTAGCGGCTGCCGTCGTGAAAGTTGCTGTTGTGGACGCCAGTATGTGCAGTAAATCTGACTGCACTCGTAGCATTATCTTTGTTACCACTTCGGTAATTTAGGGGAAGAAGTTGCGTGTGCAGGCTTTCTTGGGGTATTACCGACAGAGAGCATGCAGTAGAGCTGGAAGGAGCCCTCGCAGAGCACGAGGCGCGAGCACTCCACCACGGTGATCTCCAGGGTGCCGCCCATGGAGACCTTCTCCTGCTGCGGCGGAGAGGTACGCAGCTCGGGCACGAGAAAGAACGGCTTGAACTTGATCCGGTAGCTGGGCAGGGTGTGCTTGCTGCGCAGCACTCTGCGGATCTGCCATGGAGACGATCCCACCGCCCGCCCCAATGGGGCACGCCCGGGTGACGTTTCGAGAAAAGCTCTTGAGTCAACGGGCCAATTTCGGCACTCTGATTGGCGCGCCTTCGTGTGCATCATGTCCCTGGCTTACGGGGGACAAAAAAAGAGGAGAGCAGCGCTGATGCTTAGGGCAAAGTGCCCCAGGGATTCACGCGCTAGCTTTTAACCGGCTCCCATATTTGCGTACACATTTATCGAGGGAGCAGATCTTGAAGTCGGCTAAGGGCAAGAGCGGGAGCCACTGAGGCATTTTTAGGTAAAACTCATCACCCCCCCCCCCCCCTCCCAACCCCCCGTAAACCAGGTGATGTGACGTTCACAAAAACTAAAATTGCGCCACTCAGCGTGCCGAAAGACGTTGCCGGATCCGTGAGAAAAAGAATTCCGTTTATTCGGCATTCATATACTACGAATCGTAGAACGCTAAAACTCCGTGAGAATATGATACTAGCGATGGTAATAATATACGAACGAAAACCGGGGCATTACCTGAAAAAAAATATAAAACGGAGAATCCACATTTTGTTGTGAGCCGACGTCCACCTAAACCTAACACTCGTCAAATAAGAAAAAATCTATTGTTAGAAACCCCATTATTTCAGTTAAAAAAAATTCTCAGCTAACTTTGTCTTGCAATTTTTTTTAATAAAAATAACAAGATGAATAAAACAATTTGACATGACCATCGAAGCATGATAGTTAAAAAAAAGTGTTTCGGCGCGATGTTGTCGGAATTGAATTAATTCAAGTGACTTCCGGAGTCTTTGAGGTCGCTTTCATAGCGCTGGTTCTCTAGCTGGTTTAGAATTTACATTGGATGGCTTTTAGAAACAAGATGAACTCTAATACGGTCTCTACAGTCTTCGCCGTAGATTTGCCATCCTGCTAGTGAAATTGGGCATCCCACCCTGTCTCAGTTTTGTCCTTTTGTGAGCTGCAGTCGGCTTCGAATATTAGAAAGCGTAACACACAGCTCCAAGTGGGCAGATTATGTTATAATCTGCCCACTTTCTTTTTACAATCTAAATAACAGTCGTACACTATACCACACAAAAACAAACGCGTGAACGCCTTTAAATTAAAGCTTTCGATTATTGTTGTGGGAACGCCGGAGTCCTCCAGGATTCATAGTACAGTCCAGTCAAGGACAGAAGAGTCACGTCCTGTTAAGTTATTATTATGATAGAATATAAAAAATTGACTGTTTCAATTGCTGGAAATGCAATCGACGTGTGTTGTAGGCAGCATTTAAGTTAATATGTTTCTACATTTAGTACCTCTATGGTGTATGCAAAGTTACGATGTGGTTACCTGTCCTGTTATAATGTTGGCAATCTGCGGAAAGTTTTGGCCTTGAATTGATGATTCCACTGTGATGATGACCCTGGGCTCCTGTATAAGGAAAAAGAGCCTATGATAATGGCTGCCAGCAACAATGCGGGCATGAGGATTTTAGAGCCATGGAGTTTGAGAAGAATGCATACGGAAGATGGGACCACAATGCTTGTATCACCGGCAGTCGCTCTCGGTACGCTAATTGCCCGTAGACATAGCTAATATGAATTTCAAGTTATAATTTTTAGACTTTAAATAAAACAAAAAATTGTTCCAGAACAATCGGAGAAAGTTTTATTTTGATATTGTAATACTAAAAATGCGTATCATATTGTCTTAATTTTTTTCCTCGATATTTTCTATGTGCTGATTTTTTGTGAGGACTAATATTATGCATGTTTTATGTTTGTTTTTGTTTTCACTGTAATACATTTTAGTTTGTTAAGGCCTGTTCACACATACAGCGGAGCGCTAGGTTAGCGCTACGTGAGCGCTCTAAAGAGCGCTGATGTGGCGCTTCCTAGCGCGTGACTTCGTTCTAATATAACGCGCGATCAGCGCTTTGGTTGCGCCTTCTTAGCGCTTCAGTAGCGCCTTGTTAGCGCTTCAGTTATCGCTGCGGATTAGCGCGTGCACTGCGGTTCCGGTTCCTGTGGTTGGGTGTGCATCAACAGTACCATGTCTGAGATGTGGGACGCTGAAATAGAAACTGACAAATGCTTTTGCATACGCAAATAGCGCATATGTTTGTGGACGACTTAACGCCCAGAAGAGCCTTCTGGGTGCGCGAAATCTTTCGCCACCGAGATACCGACGGGTATCCGGCGAACCATGTTCCCAAACTGAGGGACCGAGATTCAGAGCTCTTTCGAAGGTGATTTTTTTTAACTGCGTTTCTTTAAAACCAGGGTCGCGCATATCGAATAGAAATCGATGACGTCGTACCCAATCAATTAGTCGCTCAGAGTCCATGACTCTGGATCGTCTGCCCGACCGTTTGCTTGGAGAGCGGCTCTTTTACTTCCTGGTCTTTCACCACCAAAGGAAAAACAACGATGGAATCGCCGTGCACGCGCTGTTCTGCAGCAGGACGCACGGCAAAAGGAGCGTGAGAGCGCTTACACTGCGCTGCTGAAGCGCTTCTGAAACGCTAACTAAGCGCCTACTGGAACGCTTCTGAAGCGCTAACCGAGCGCTTTGACACGCGCAAGTCGGTGCCACATAAGCGCTGCTTCCAGCGCCCATGAAGCGGTAACTGAGCGCTCCGCTGCATGTGTAAACCGGCCTTCATAGTTCAGCTGAAGTCAAGTTCTTGAGTTTCACTAAAGTGACAAACAAAAGTAACCGATATCGACAAGCCTCAAACACGTGCAGCATGCACGGGATGCTTTTGACAAGCTTTTAGTATTTCGGTGCTCGTTCTGTAAGCTCGAGTGATATAAAGCATGCCGAAGATGCCCTCACGTGCATGATGCTCGCGTTTGAGGCTTGTCGGTGTCGGCTGTTCCTGCATATCGCTTTGGATTTCGGACATACGAAAATGGGTCCGTTGGCGGGATTTTCTCTTCTTGTGTAGACTTCGAATTTATTTTATTTCTTTATATCTTTATGTACATATACTGTCAATCCCACAAGGGATTTTGAAAACGACTGAACACACACATACAAAAGTACACGTATCTTGCGTAGAACATTATAGTAGATCATTCACATAAATATTCTTATGGGTAGAACTAATTAGACAGGAAAAGTAAAATATCATAAATATAACACTTATTACACAAGAACATAATAACGTAATTCGCACAATCAAGACACCCTAAACTATTAATCGCAAATTTATAGCGTATCTATGTAATTCAGAAAGAAAGTGATGGAGGTCCTATTAGTAAAATTATGATCGAGTTGGCTACATTCTCTGATGGCTAAAGGGAAGAAAGATTACCGGAAAGGAGTAATGTTTGAAGGAATATTCGAACAATGTTCTGTTATGCTTATGTTTAGTCAACCTAGTATCAGAAAATGATACATGCCTAGACCTAACAATTTTGAAATAATCTTGAAGTAGGAGGTGCCGAAACCTAAGCCTAAGTTGTTTAGCTTTGTTAGCTTGAGTAAAGACAGCAGCTTGTTTTAGAAGTTCGGTAGGAGAGTCCGTGCGCCTGACTCAACTATAGATAAATCTTATGGCTTTACGCTGAATGTTTTAAAGTTTAGTTATGAGTGTTTTAGTGTGAGGGAACCACATTATGTTCGCATATTCGAGTGTAGGCATAACTAAACTTGCGTAAGCTAAAAGTTTTGTGGCTGTGGATGGCTAGATTGAGTGTTCTCGATATCATTTAAATGAGAGTTTAAGGAATATTATCTGAAAACCAATGACGATTTTTATAGTCAATACGCAAGTATTGATTAATACATTGCCAAGATTACACCCAGAGGCGATCCACAAATTGTAGTATAAACAAGTATACTACATTAGGCTAGTTTCCTAGGTTTGCCATTGACCCCACCCACCTCGTAGAAGGCGAAAGACCAGTGGGTGTAGGGCTTTCTTGCGAACTGGACGCGTCCCTTGCCCGAGAAGTGGTTCACCTTGATGGCCAGGCCGGCCAGGCCGCCGATGATCAGCTCTGCGTCCACGGCCAGCGAGAAGCCACCCGCGTAGTCCACGCTGCAGAAGATGTCTAGGTCCTGGGAAGTGCGCCGTCAGAGCTCAGACAGGACAGTCCCAAGAGTTGGAACCAGGAGAACAAAAGCGAGATCTCATTTGACCTTCACAAAGCGAACCCAGATATCGTTCGCCGACGGTTCATCCGCTAACGCGGGCAAAAAAGAGGGCTTGTCTGCTGCGAAGCGCCATTCGTAGACAAAAATAAGATACATCCGCTAGAAAAATTAAGAAAAAGTGGATCGTCTGCCACAAGCCGAGTGCCGCGGCGAAGCTAGCCAACGTGATCTTGGACGCGGACTGAAATTGTAATTATCCGGTATTTTACGTTGGAGGCGGTTATCAACCCGTGAGTACTCTGAACATCTAGAGAGTTCTGTAGCCTACACACAAGCTGACATCGACAGGCAGATGCAGGCAGGACGAGCACATCAGAAGCCGCGAGAACTCTCGCTCTTAGTGTATACTGTGTGCAAGTTGGTCTGCTCCTTGCGTTTGTTCGCCCTCCAAATGCGTCCGCCTACTTTCGTCCCCCCCGACCTCAACCAATGACGGTGAGCACTTGGTTGCTTCGTCACCGTGCGTTCCCTGCGCGTTCTTTAAATTTTTTTTTTATTGGCGTGCCCCACTGAGTTTAGAAGCGTCAATAAAGTCACGTGCTCGCTGTATTAGGAAGTCGTTCTCACCAAAATACTGCTCGATCGTGGGTTCAAAACTACTCATTGGTCGATAACGCGTGGCCAACAAAAAGCTGCTAAGCCATGTCCAATCAGCGGCCGAAAACGTTTTCGCTCTCGCATTACCCAAACCTCGACCCTTAGAAATGGGGATCGGAGACCGAGTGTGGTGATGCACCGCAGCGTGGAACTGGTAGAGCGAAAGCTCGCGCAGCATAATCCAGGGATCCTGGGTTCAATGCCCACTCCTCTCCATTTTGATCTGGATGAGCATCGCTCCGGTGCGCGGTCGTGTATCAGTACTGCGTGATGCTCGTTAAAGACCCCAGGCTAGCGGTTGTACTGCACTGGCTATATTGCTCATCTAAAGCTGAGACACCAGAAGCCCACTGAGGTTGACTCATTTCCGGCCACTGATCTCCATGTCTGTTTGCTGGATTGCGCCTGCCCGCTCCGCGAATTCGGTCACTGACGGCAATCTTTTTCGTCGAGTTATATTACCTCTAGCCACACCATAGTAGTATGGCGGCGTAATACACCGCTCGTTAAATAGCGTAGAGCTGGCGCAGCCATTTTCATCCATTCATGGCGGACAGCGTCGTTGCAGTTGTGGTGGCAGGCTGCCATAAAAATAGCCGTGGGTGACATCTCGTGCTTGATTGAAATTGTTCAATGAAGCATGTTGTTGAAACTCCGCGTGAACGGTAGCCCGAACTTTGAGGACACGGCGAAAGTTTCACGAAATTGCAGCACCAAGAAAAAGCAGCACAGGTCGCATCGAAAGCGGATTTGGGCGATGGCGGGGCGTACACACGCTCTTGCGTATATCCGGCTCCTCTTATGTCTTATAGAACTAGTGCGCCTCAGGAAAGTGGCCCCCTGTTATCGATAAGCCGTGAAATCCTTACGGCCCGCCTGTCGACAACAGCAGGCTCGTCAAGCGCGTCAAGCCTCGCTGTCCGCGGAGAATTGTTGCGCCGGGCAGGCGCTAGGCCTGCCTGCACTCTCACGCTCCGTCTGCGCTCTCGGTCGAAGGGAAGACAGTCTGGACCTCTGGCTTTGACAGTATGATCGAGAAAAGACACCAATTCACTTCGTTTAAATGCATTTTATTTAGAACGTCGCACGCCCGAATATATAGTACCAAAATACATAAATCTCTTAAGAGCACATCGGCATACACGTTTGTGGAGAGATCCTGGTGAATATATACACTTGGGAGAATTCCCCGAATGATCGCGAGTACATTCACGTCGTCTCTTGATCCGTATCCAAGCGTTCAGGAGCACAGGACTTCACCCCCAACGAAATCACACCACCACCTGTCAACAATGCCGAACCGCGGAGGGGCCCATTCCCGGTACGGCGTCTGCTTTCGATGCGAGCTGCGCTGCTTTCCCCTGGTGCTGCGATTTCGTAAAACTTTCGCCGGGTCCTCACGGATAAGGCTACAGTTCACGCCGGGGTTCAAGAATCTGCTTCATCGAACAACTTCAATCAAGCACGAAATATGACCCACGGTACAGTGTACCAAACCCACGGCTATTTTTATGGCAGCCTGCCGCCACACTGCTGTCCGCCATATTACTATGATGGCTAGAGATAATATAACTCTACCAAAAAGATGGCCGACCGTGGCCGCATTCCCGTCCATAGTCGGTACTGGTCAAACGCTTTCCAGCAAATAGACATAAAGATCAGTGCTTCCGGCAGTCTAAACAAACAACACAATTACTCATTATTTCTATAACGCGTCTGCGACTGCTGAGTTTACCGTGTCCTTATTTTGGCACTCTCGATTGGTAAACCGGTAAATTAACCCCATGTTGCCGTAAAAAAAGAAGACGTAGGTACATTAATTTCATGTAAGTTCCGTCAACGTATTAGTCGCTGAAAACGATCACCCATCTGCGTTGAAATTTCTATTTCGAGCATTTTTTTTTGTCACGTTCCATTCATTGAAAAGAACGGCAAAAAAGCCACGCCCCTGATCTCATAACACCAACGTGTTCTTCCGCTGCGCCGCGCTCAGTGCAAGAGCCGGGGGATCGTTTTACAGTTGTTCACTGCGAATCCCTTTCATGAAGCCTTCAGACGCGACTGCATACTTACCTCGATGGTTTTCCATGCTTCGTGTAGCGTGACGTCTTCAACGGCGAGTTTCGTAAGCGTAATGAAGTCGTTTCCAAAGTCCAGCTCCCGAAGCTAAGAAAAAAAGCGAAACCAATCAATGCTTTATTTGTTTCAGGTGACGCCTCCTACATAAAGTTCTCAATCGCTTTTTATCCCTTTTAACTTCCTGATTTTGTTTGAACTCTTTTCAATATGCTTAGTTTGTACTTTCTCGTTTTCGACACAATTGCAGACGAAGCAGACGAAATCGAGTTCTTTTATTTTGGGTGTTACACTGTACAATTCAGTAAATAGCGTTGTTTGATGTTTCGTAAATGTTGCGTGCACCCTTACAATAAGCATTGTACTTCGTTTCATTTTAAAGGGGCGATGCAGTGACCATTGTAATTTTCGGAAATACAGCCAAGAAATAAATCCCTGACTTTTATGACATGAAACACGCGTTTGTCTTTTATGCCACGCGATAGAAATTGAGAAATAAAATAAAAATTATATCATGATTGAAACCTGAGACTGTGGTTTGAAAAACAGAAACTCGTAAAGTAGGAAGAAAAAGGGACAGACAACGTCTTAAACTCAGCTAAAAATGTTATGGCCTCTACGCCTTACATACACCTCCCCCGAACGTCGCGTAGAGGTGTTCGGGGGAGATGTATGTCGACACTGCGAACCCCGAGCTACGTCCTCAAGTTTTGCGAAGGAGAGATTAAAGTAAAACGCTGGCTTCTATCCTTGAAATGACGCCGCAACTGAAACGTTCTTGGTCAGTGGCGTTGCGTTCGAATGTACTTGTGTCCCACTAGTGCTCTCTAAAGTGAAAAAAAAAGAAAAAAAAAAACATTTCAACTAAATATTGCTGCACCGCACCTTTAATTATAGACGCGGCCGACGCTACGAGCGTATGGGACTAATGAAACAGCGTGAGAGACGCAAGTCACTGGGTTTTTCTGTACATGACTGTAAAACAGGTACGGGACATGACGTTGCACCATTGACGCTGTTTAATTCGTCCCATCGGCTCGGAGCGTCGGCTGTGCCTTGACTTGAGGGGAAACAAATTATTATACGTTTTCTTTTCGACGTGCAAATATTTACCGGGAGCTGGTTGGCGTCGATCTACTGCGCGGTCCCTACAATCAAACACGCATTCCAACGCACGTTTTAGAGCGCAGCTCTCAGGCGCCCGTTTCCGGCTTGAGCGGCGTCGCCGTCGCCGTCAGCGTAACCGCGCGGTGCATTATGGGAAATGTCCCATAATGCACCGCGCGGGACCCTCGCGACGTCACTCGTGACGTCACGTGTGACGTCACGAGGGGCGCGAGTTGGGTCTTGGGAAATTTCCCATGATGCAACGCGCGGGGAGGAGGGATGGGGAGGGCGACACCATAAATGTCCCATAATGCACAGCGCGGGGAGGAGGAGGAGGGAGGAGGAGGGGACGAGGACGAGTAAGAGGGGAGGGGAGGAAGGAGGGGAGGAGTAGCAGGAAGGATGAGGAGGTGAGGAGGAGGGAGGAGGGGTATCCCTCCTCCTCACCTCCTGCCAAATACTTTACTAGGGGAAATACATTCCACTCCGCTCATTTGCATTAGACAGAACGCCTACAGCGCCGAATCCAGCCCTGACGGACGGGAGGTTCGCGTCAGTCCACGTGCATGTGCACCTGGATGTTCGCGGCGGCCGCGACGGTGTCGTCTCCGATTCCAGCTAAAGGCCTTCCATGTTTCAAAAGTAGCACAAGGTGCGTCAATTCACAAGGCACGTGCAACGTGCGACCCTTGGGAAGATCATGGCGGCAGAGTGCAGCAAAGTTATTGACGCAACACTGGGCTAGATTTTAGACGCCATGTTCTTCCTAGAAGTGGCGCACGGCACGTGTCTCGAGCATTTCCCAAACAATGAATTTGGTATGCAGAACGACCATCTTCGTCATTATCATTTACCACCCTATAGCCGAAAACTCCCCGATGATAGATGGCTCTCGCCAAGCCCAGAAAACCCGTCGACGCTGAGGCTATTGTATTTGAAAGGAGTGGAATGTATTCCCCCTAGTAAACTATTTGTTCCTGCCTTCGGTACCTTCCCTCCTCCTTCTCAAGAGTTGCTCTCTAATTCGGCGTTACAGGGTTTTGTAAACGTCTTTCGTTATTTTTAGTGCGCCCCTTTTAGTCGTTTAATGTTCTGAATAAATTATCGGAAAAATAAAAACCCGCCTAATAACCGATAAACAAGGGCTTGCCCACGTGCCAAGTGTGACAAAAAGAGAAAAAAACGTTTGTTAGGACAATTGCACTTACAAGCTGCACAAGAGTAAGCACTGGTAACGCGCCTTAACTGAGTGTTGAACTGCGAAGCTACTGCACGTGTTCGGTGTCATGTGACTGGCCTTTTACAATTAGTGAAGAGATTGCTATTGCATCTTTAATAGTATTTATTCTCTTTTTATTTGCGGAAATCTGTTTAATATCGGGCGACCGCTCTTGAGGAGTTGCTGTTAAGCACGCGATGACTACAAGCTTCTACGTGCATACTTGAACTTTTATTTGCTACAAATAATAATTGGCCAGGGTTACAATACTGGGGATCTCGCGACGCCAGGGGTAGGAAACACTACGGGGATGATCTGAGCTAAAGTGTTATTATACATCACGGGGTGAAACCAACCGAACAAGGAAGGAAGGCGAAACAGAAAAGACAAACGACCGCTAGACTACCAACTATTTTATTAAAACGTCCTCTTCTTATAGTAGTTCTTATCCGTATCTCTCTGTTTCTGTTTTTTTTATATCCTGAATCCTGTTGCCCCCTTCTTTCTGTTTATACTCACTAGGAAGGGCGCCCTGCAGAAAAAGCTTTTCTTGAGGTTGCAGGGTTATTGAGGCGGAGCTCACACAGTTTTCTTCATCTTCTATAATAATAATAATCTTTATTTTTGTTGGGTGTCCAAAAACAGCTCAAGGCCTAAATAGTGGTACACCGCTCGTCATCAAGGATAAATGCAGGCAACAAAACAAGGTCGTGACTATGTACAAATAATTGACTCAAGCCTATGACTCAAGCCTATGTCGCTAAAGATATCTACAGCAGATTGATCCAGTTTGTTAAATTCAAGTTGCATTCTTGTTAGTGGTGACGCGACATTCAAAGCAGACGGGTAAAAAGGACTTTGAAATCGATTGGACCGCAAGGGAGCGTGAAAACAGACAGTGCTTAACAAAAGTGGTGAGTCAACAGCACCGTTTACAACCTTATGTAAAAACATTAGATCACGTAATCGTCTTCTATCGAGTAACGTACACAACCCAAGTTTTTTAAGTAATTGTTCGTAGCTGTAGTAGCAAGTACGGTCGAAATATCTGTCGTAAATTATGCCTATGAAGCGTTTTTGAACACGCTCAATACAGCATGATGCAGTGAGGTTAATGCAGTTCCATACAGAAGAGGCATACTCCAGCTTCGTACGCACTAGGCAACAAAATAAACGCACAAGACAAACAGGCGAAGAAAACTTTCTCGTGAAACGAGATATCGCCCCAAGGTTTCTAAAAGAGGTGTTGCAGATAGTTAAAACGTGATGATTAAAATTTAACGATGAATCAATAAAAATTCCAAGATCACGAATGACGGAGACTCGGGTGATGACGCTGCCACCTATTGTGTAGGAAAATGCAAGCGAATCACGCTTTCTAGTGAGAGACATTGTTTTTGTTTTTTGTTCGTTCAGTGGAAGATAATTCTTTGCACACCACTGTGAAATTTGCAATGCGTCCTCCTGAAGAAGTACGCAATCGGAGTGAGATTGTACACGTCGAAACAGTTTGATGTCATCCCCATACAAGAGCACTTTTGAATTTTTCGCACAGAGCGAAATGTCATTCACAAACATCAAAAATAATAGTGGACCCAGGTTGCTTCCTTGGGGTACTCCAGAAGGCGATGAAAAATAATCGGACATGGATCCTGACACACGAACATAATTTGTACGACATGTAAGATAACTTTTGAACCATTGGCAGTAAGTCAAGCACAAACCATAGCTATCTAGTTTCGTCAGAAGTGTGCTGTGATTAACCTTGTCGAATGCCTTCGTCATATCAAAGTATATTACGTCGACTTGCTCGCGGTTGCAAACCAATGGAACGGCATAATCTAAAAAAGAGCATAGATTGCTTTCAACCGACTTACCCTTCAGAAATCCATGTTGTTCTGGGTTCATTTTATGTCTAAAGTGCCTGTACAGACGTTTATGCATGATCATTTCAAAAACTTTGGAAAAACTGCACAACAATGAAACGGGACGATAGTTGTTTACAGTACTAGGGTCCCCTGCTTTATGAATCGGAACAACAACAGAGCGTTTCCAGATAGAAGGAAATATTCCTGAATGTATCGATAAATTAAATATGTGTAATAAGACAGGAGTTAGCAGTTCGGCACACCCTTTCACAATAAAACTTGGAATTCCATCTGAACCAGCAGACAGCTTCGATTTCATATTACGAATGCTTTCCCTGATTTCAGGTTCGTCAATTGAGATAAAAGACAGAAAATCAGATGTGCCATGGCACATCGCGTTATTGTCAGGGACAGATGCTGATGAAAAACATGATTTAAAATGCTCAGCAAACATGTTGGCAATTTCAATTGAATCACACGTATAGCCAGAACTATTTCGCATCGGTGCCACGCTACTATTCCGCTTCTTTTTTGTCGGTACATATTTCCAAAAGTTTTGAGGCTTGGCGTACATGTCAGACTCAAGCCCATGCAAATGTGCACTTTCGTCTTTTTTAAAAAGCCATTTTGCCAAAGCACGACACTCACTAAATTTTGCGTACCACTTGTCCAATCCCGACCTTTTAAAAAGACGGTGATAATGAAGCTTACGTCTCAAGCAACTTCTTAATTCCTTTGAGAACCACGCAGGGTACTTGTTTAGTCTCGAAACACGTTTAGGCACGAAGTCATTTATCGCGCTCGAGACCACTTCTCTAAGTGCCTCAGCAGCTGAATCAGCGCACTTGTTATTCAGGATAGGTTTCCAGTCATAGCACTGAAAGTACTTGTACATA